TATGATCAATATTGTTTTGGGCTGGCGATGGGGACTCCCTTCACTCTCTTTCCTTATACAATAGGACAGTGATGGCGAACCTTTTAGAGACCGAGGGCCCAAACTGAAACCCAAAACCCAATTTTTTTTTGCCGGGTGCCTGGTGGGCGTGGCTGTGGTGGTCATGGCAGACTGGGTGGGTATGGCCAAGGTGGGCATGATCACCTTGATGTTGCTCGTGGGGACGCCTGTGGGGGCCGGGCAGGGTCAGGGGAGATCCAGGGGATCTCTGGCAGGTGGAGCGGTGGGCAAGAGGCTCGTCCTGCGTGGTGAGGCGAGGCACAGCGAGGCAGGGTGGCGGTGCCATTGTCACAGGGCAAGGTGTGGCAGGGGCAGGGGTGGCTGCTGCCTGACACCATTGGCCCGGGCACACAGAGGCCAGCGAGCACATGGGTGCTGGGATGCATCTGGCCATGTGGGACCTCGGCGAGTTAGCGGGCAGCTGGTTGAAGAGGGACGGTTGCCATCTCCGGGGCATGGCACACGTGCCCATAGAGAGGGCTCTGAGTGCCATCTCTGGCACGTGCCACAGGTTTGTCACCACTGCAATAGGAGGAAAGAAGGCCAGCCAGATTGCATTGGGGTGCTTTGGAGACAACAAACGGGCGCTTCTTGTAAGGGAGGGGGGCAGAGAGACAATTTAGTCGCCTGCCTTAACCAAGGGGTGAAAGGGGGGGGGATTTGCAGGCTGGCTTCCCAGCCTTTTAAGTTTCCCGCGCGCAACCAGGCCGTGGGCGCCGCGGAGGGAAAGGCGGGGGCCGCGGCTGGAAGGCGAGGGGGGGCGGCGCAGCTTTCCCGGCTGCTCGGGTGGGGAAGAGAGGGAGGACGGGGCCCGATCCTCCGCTTGCAACCAAAGCTGGCTGCGAGGCGGAACTGGGGGAGCATTTCCACGCGGGGGTGTCGCCCACGCCTCGGCTGAGCCCCGGCCAGGCTGCCGGGCTGTCTCCGAGCCGGCTGTTCTTCCCCTCCCCGGAGCAGGCGGCGCCTTGAAAGGCCGCCGGTTCCGCTCCGTCTCTCTTTCTCTTTTCCACTTGTAGCAAACCGAGGAAGGGGAGGGGGGGGGAAATGCCACCCGGGAGCCGGAACCGGCCGCCAAATAAGGAGTCCGAGGCGGGGCCGGATCCTGGCCTTGTATGGCGCTTCCCCTCGGCTGCCGGCCCAGCTAAGCCCGCGGCTGCAAGGGGCGGAGGCAGTTGTGCGCCACGACTGGCCCCCTCTCTCTCCCCCCCCACCACACACTCTGCCACCCCCCCTCCCATGCATCTGGCTGCACCCCCGAGGAGGCTTCGCTCAGTCTGGACTCTTGGGAAGCCTCCTCAATCCGGGGAGGGGGGCAGCCTTTTGCACCCTCCCCTTTTCGCATCTCCCCCTCCCCCGCCCGGCTCCTGCTCCGCTCGCGAACTTCGCTTTCCAGGACCAGCGCCGCTCCTGGGGGTGGGGGCAGTGGGGGAAGGCTGCGCTCGGAGCCAGCCCGGAAGCCCCGCTCGACCCCCCCTTCCTCCACCCCCACTCTTGGGGGGGAGGCTGCTGCTGCTGCTGCCTGGGTCGTTTTCAGCCGGTTGAACTCTCGGTCAGATCAAAGCTGAACTTCTTTGCCATCCTCCTCTCTCCCCCCCCCCGCCGCCGCCGGTGCACATCCTTTCTCCCCCCCCCATCCCTTTGCGAAGGCAGCGAGCGTCTCCAACATCTGTTCGGAAGGGGGCGAGCAGTTTTTAATCTCTCTTCCCCCCCTTAATAAAAAAAATGCCACCTCGGAGAAGTTTTGCCCACCGCTGCCCGCCCCGGAGTGATAGCACGGAATCCCTTCAAATTTATCCACCGGTTGTGGGGGGGGGGGACTGTTTTCTCACTTTCTCCCCTTTTCCCCATCAGCGATGGCTTTTGTGGTGGGGCGCGGGGGGGGAAGCCTTCCTTGCAAAGTTCAGCCTTCAAAATCCCTGCTGCTGGAGTTATTTGCAACGCCGAGACGTAACACCGGCGCTTTTCTCCGAGGCAACCTTTCCTTAAGAACAGATCTAAGTAAGGGTGGCGCGCAGATGGCGGTTCTCCATCCTCCGAGTTATTATACAACCGCGCGTCTCCGGAGGCAGGACCCAAGAGTCCACCTGAATCACACACACACACACAAAAAAAAAACTCAGTGGGCCTCGGAAGGCGGTCTGAGATCGCAGCGCGTCTGCGTAGCGGCTGAGTTGGAGCGAGGTGCGCTGTAACTCATTGTGAAGTTTACGCTCCGACGAAGGCATTCAGACGACCTTGAGAGATGCCGGAAAAGTAAGCCAGGTTGGCCCGTGGCTGTGACCTGCAGGGGGGGAGGGGAAACGGTTAGCCATTCCCAAGTTTGTGGAACCAAACTAAAAAAAATTAAAATAAAAAACCCCTCCCGTCCCGAAGACGTTGCTAAGAAAAGTGCAGGAATTATTTTCCTCGCCTCTGGGATGAACCTTACTGGAGAGAGAGAAGACAATAAGCTCACGAGCTCGCATACAGGTATCTTCAGTAAGCAAAGACGGCGCCTATGTACGCCCGGGACCTGAAGACCTCTGACGCGCACCTGGGGAAGGAGGGCTGGAGGGGGGCAGAGACTCCAGACCTTACGGAAGACTCCTTCGCCTCCGACTGCCTTAGGGTCTTGGCCACCCTCGCCGCCCCGCCCCCCCCCTTTCCCAAATCCAGGCTTCTTTCCAGCCTGCCTTTCACTCCACTTGCAGTGTTGACCCTCCAGTGCGAGGAGTTGGGTAAGTGGAGCTGTCGCAACGTATAATTTTTCCATGCATTTTGCTACATACCTCGCAGGGTTTTTATTTAAAGATAGCATCAGTTGGCACACACCGCACGAAACCACCTAATTACTGACGCCTCGCAAGTGCCAAACTTCAAAAAGGGAGGAGGAGGGGGGAGGGAGAAAATCACACACACACACACACACAGCCGAGGGTTCCCTGTCTGAAATCGGTCCAAGTCTTGTGTTTACCCGTGCCTGAATTTAAAAGGGGAAAATATCTTGGGAAGGGAGGGTGGAAGGGACTGTAGTCCCCCCCCCGGCCCGTAACTGCAGGAGCTGCGCGTCTGCTTCCAGCTTCTCCTGCTACCTACAGACTCCCACGAAAACCCGGGCTCCTGTGGTAATCCCAGGCAAGGCCGGGCTTGCCTCGCCTCTTCCCAAAATGTTTGCGCTTGGGCGCGTTAGGTCTATCTGGGACTGGCAGGGAACCTGGAAAAATCTCGGATGTTTGCCAGCCCGGCTGTTTCTTAGCCGTTTCCGTTTTGCTAGCGGGTTCCACTGGGGGGCAAAAAAAAAAAAAAAAAGCTTTGGACCGGGAGAGCGACTCGCGTTCCGATCCTCACGACGCCGAGAAGGTCGGTTGCCTCTTGAGCCAGCCGCGTTCTCTCTCAGCCTTTCCCTGCCTCGCAGGCCTGTTCTGACGATAATGTGGGAAAGCCCTTTAGGGCTTCTTGGAAGAGAAGGTGGGCTACCTCCTAGCTGTGCGTAATGCTAGCAAAGCGTCTGGAGGCTTCGCTGTTTTGTTCTGGCGCGCTTGTTAACTTACACTAGAACTTAAGAGTAGGGACAGGTGAATTGAACTGCCCACGTCAGTCGACCTCGCGGGGGGGGGGAGTTGTTTAGGATGAAGTGCTCCTCAATGGGGCGGTGTGTGTGTGTGTGCGTGTGTCAGGTGTCTTCAGAATACCCCGCATACTTGTAAGAAAATGAAGCGCGGATGTAAATGCTGAATGGTGGCTGAACCAGCCTTTTCGTTTATCGTAACGGCTCCCTCCTCCGGAAAGAAACGTATTTTCTTTAATAAACACCGCAGCATGTTCTTAGAGTTTTTAATAGAACCTCCTGAGGGGCTACGAGGACTTGGGGACAGCACGGTCACCAACGGGGGGGGGGTCTTTGGCTGGGCTGTGAAGTGACCCCACTTGGGGCACTTGCGTCCATGGTAAAGCGGGGGGGGGTGTGAGCAAACCTGCCACAGCGCCCCTCTTTAACGCCTCTCCCTCTCCCCACTCTTTGAGGGGGGACAAGCGACCCCCGGAGCAGTCGCTCGGGCCCAGCATTGGGTGCCTGCCACCCAAACCCAAAGAGGAGACGCCGGTTTGGCCAAGGGGCGCCACGCCAAATGCCCACGACCAAGCGCTCGCGCGTCTCTTGCTTACTGCCTCTTCCTCTTCCTCCTCCTCTCCCGAAGTCGAGCCAGAGGTAAACAGGGGCCGGCGAGGAGTCCTGAGGAGGCACCCGACGCTCTCCGGCTGACGGGCTGGCATTAACCGGCCAGCCGGTTTGTCGGCCAGGGATGCTTTCCCAGCCGACCCCCTCGCCTGGCCCGGGCGGAGAGCGGAGAAGCCGCGTCCCCAGCGCTGCGCTCTTGGCGGAGGTGCCGGTCTGGGCGGCCCGGCTCGCAGCAGCCCCGGCTGCCCAGCTTCCTGCTTTCTAAACGTTCCATTGTAAGGAGCTTCCATTGTGACGTCGCGGCTTCGGCTCGGCTTTGTCTGTCCATATATGGGCAGCTACGTCATGGAGCTTTTCCCTCGCTCACATAAATAGCTGATGGATTTCCCTGGCTGAGCATTTGGGCTGCAGCGGAGAAACCGGCGGCACGAAACGATCGAAGAAGAGACGGAGCCGCGAAGGGAGCGGAGCGAGGCTGGGGAGGGAAGGAGGAAGGAAGGAAAGAAGGAGGGGGGGCAGGGAGGGATTCAAAGCTCCCACCATCTTCTTCTTCTTCTTCGGCACTCACATCTGCAACGCAGAACGGCGAGTCCTTCCACCCTCTCCTCCGCCGCCGCCATCCAGGAATCACCTTCAGGGATCTACCGAGGATTGCGCGCTCCCCCCCCCTCCGACCCACCCACCTTCCTCCGCCAACCGGCCCTCCCTCCCCTGTCCCCACGCCGCCTTCCCTTCCCCTCCCCCTCCCCTCTCCCCCTCCCTCCCTCCCTCCCTCCCCACCGCCGCAACTTTTCTCTCGCATGATCTCCTCCGCACGGATTTGCCCTTCGGGATGTCGCCTTGTTGGGAACGGCGCTCGGAGTCACTTTGAAGCCTCCGGTGGCGCAGCGACGGCGGCGGCGGCGGCGGCGGCAGCTGCCTCGGTCTCTCCTCCTCTTCCTCTTCCTCCTCCTCCTCCAGTGCTATGACAGGCAAACTCGTGGAGAAGCTGCCAGGGACCATGAACACTTTGATGAACCAGTTGCCTGACAATCTGTACCCGGAGGAGATCCCGAACTCTCTGAACATTTTCTCCGGGAACGGCGAGGCAGCGGTGGTGCACTATAATAACCAGATGGCGACAGGTAAAGGAGGCAGGGAGAGAGGGGCAAGGCGGGAGGAGGGGGAGGAGAGGGGGGGCTGTGAGGGAGGGGGAAAACGTGTGTTTGCGGTGGGGAGGGAGCTTCCCCCGGCGGAGAAGCCGAGGCTGAGACTGTACATCTGCCTCTTTTCGGCGCAAAGAGAATGGCAGAAACTGGAAGGTACGGGGCGGGGGGGGGGAGGCAGCTGCTGGAGGCGTGCGAGAGAGGGACCCTTGGCAGCCCCGCTTTTCCGCCCTGACCAGGACCCTGCCTTCTAGAGGCCTCCCTGGGATGGCTGCGGTTCTGTTGTCGGTGCGCCTCTAGCCGTGGGAACTAGGGTCCCTTCTCCCCTGCAGCACTCTTTCCTGGGCGCTTCCAGTCTTGTGTGCGTGTGTGTGCATGTGTGTTTCTTCCTTTCATACGCTGTGGCTTCTCTGTGGCACAAGCTGCCATCGCTGCGCTGGCATATCGCCCCCCCCCACGCTTCCCCCCCCCTCATTCTTCTTTCTCTTTAATGATACATCCATCATGTCGGAATCCGGAGGGTGGAGAAGTGCGCGAAGGCGACCTTCCATTTCCTTAAACTGGGGGGAAAACTGGGGCTGGCGAGGGTTCCTGGAGGCAGAGGGGTGGGCTGCGCGGGCAGGGCGGTAGAGCAGCGAGGGGGGGGCAGGGGAGGCAGAAGGTGGGGGCTCCGTCCCCGCCTCCCCCAGCTCTCCCCTTCCCTTGGCTGCGGCTGAAACCGACCGGCTTTCCTTTGGATGCCTCTCGGGAAGGGGAAAAGATCGGCGAGGTGGGGGTGACCGAGAGGTCAGGGCTCCTTCCAAGCCGGAGCGGACCTGGTTCGGTTCGGTTCAGCCTCGCCCCACCTCCACCGCCCCCTCCCTTCCTTTGATTAGCCAGCCCCCTCCACCTCCTCCCTAAAGCCTTTCGCCACCAGCGCTCAGAGAGGGGGGGGGGGACACAAGCACAAAACAAGAGCTTCCCCTCCTCCCTTTGTATTTTGCATCCCTGGTCTCCACGGAGAAACCAAGGCAAGTTTGTAAAGCTCTCCTGGAGGTCCCGGAGTGCGTCGGAGGGGTGGGAAAGAGCCTGGAGACCAGCAGAGAGGCGAGGAAAGCAGGCAGGCCGGCCAGTTCGCTCTCGGCAGCCTGAGCCCTTCTGCAACTCCAGGTACCTGCAACCTGTACTCCGCCTCCCCGCCCTCCGACACGCTTCTTAGGGTTCCTCGCTGGACCGTCCACTCTGAACATCAGGTAGCCTCCCTGGCCCAGCGCCTGGCGCCTGTAGACCTACCCAAAGTAGGACTGGGAGAGGACCGAGGCGCGCCCCCTTTTAAAGCTCCACAGATCGGCCTGGCAGAGGAGGAGGCGGCGGCGGCGGCGGTGGTCTCGAAGAGGGACCGGCGGTTTAGCTATCCTCCCGCGCGCGTCTCCCTGCCTCGTTGGCTTCTCTCCACGCGTGTATGGGTAGGACTGTGCGAGCGCTCCTGGTCGATTTTTTCCTAGCTTTGTGTCTTGTCTCTGTGGCCTGTCTTGATCTTGATCTTTAGAGCGGGGGGGGGGCGCGGGGACGCTCCAGGGGCCGCCCAGGCTACTTGGCGGTCCCAGGCCCCTGGCCCGTTCCCCCCCCAAGCCCCCCAGTGTATTTCTGTGCCTGAGCCTGAGCCTGTCCGTAAGCAAGTTAAGCCTAACAATTCTTCCCCCCTCCCTGCTCTGAAGCGCGAGGGCTCCGCCTTTCGCGGCCTCCTGACGCCGGCGCCTTTTCCTCCTTTTCTCGCGTGCAAGTCCGGCGCTCGAGGCGCTGCGTCCAGCTTCCAGTTTGGCTTCGCGAGTGGGTCGCTCGGGGAGCGGAGCGCGAGGCTTCTTGGCAAAGCGAGGGGCCCTGGGACTCCCTGCCCGCCCGCGTGGACCCTCCCCTCCTTCGCCTCCCCCTCCCCTCCCCTCCCCTCCTTCCCTCGCCAGGAAGGCTCCCCCCCTTCCTCCAGCCCCCCCAATCGCTCACCTTTTCTCTCTCTCTCGCCCTCCCCCCGTTTCTCTCCCTCTCGTCCCTCGCAGATAATGTGATGGATATTGGTTTAGCCCACGACAAGCCCGGCCAGGACTTGTCCTCCTACTCGGGCTCCTTCCAGCCCGCTCCCGGGGGCAACAAGACGGTGACCTACCTGGGCAAGTTCGCCTTCGACTCGCCGTCCAACTGGTGCCAAGACAACATCATCAGCCTGATGAGCACCGGCATCCTCGGGGTGCCGCCGCCCTCCGCCGGCGCGCAGGCCTCGACGGGCGGCATGGTGCAAGCGCAAAGCCAGGGCGACGTGGACGGCATGTACCCGGCGCTGCCCCCTTACTCCGCCTGCGGCGACCTCTACCCGGGCGACCCGGTCTCCTTCCACGACCCGCAGGGCAACGCCGCCGGCCTGGCCTACCCCACGCAGGACTACCAGGGCGCCAAGCAGGCCGGCGGCCTGGACGGCAACCTCTTCCCCATGATCCCGGACTACAACCTCTACCACGGCCACCCCAACGACCTGGGCGGCCTCCCGGAGCACAAACCTTTCCAGAACCTGGACCCGATCCGGGTCAACCCGCCCCCCATCACCCCGCTGGAGACCATCAAAGCCTTCAAGGACAAGCAGATCCACCCGGGCTTCGGCAGCCTCCAGCAGCAGCAGCAGCAGCCGCCGCCGCCGCTCACCCTGAAGCCCATCCGGCCGCGCAAGTACCCCAACCGGCCCAGCAAGACGCCCCTCCACGAGCGGCCCCACGCCTGCCCGGCCGAGGGCTGCGACCGGCGCTTCTCGCGCTCCGACGAGCTGACGCGGCACCTGCGCATCCACACGGGCCACAAGCCCTTCCAGTGCCGCATCTGCATGCGCAGCTTCAGCCGCAGCGACCACCTCACCACCCACATCCGCACGCACACCGGCGAGAAGCCCTTCGCCTGCGAGTTCTGCGGGCGCAAGTTCGCGCGCAGCGACGAGCGCAAGAGGCACGCCAAAATCCACCTCAAGCAGAAGGAGAAGAAGGCCGACAAAGGAGCCTCGGCCTCGGCGGCTGCCGGCCTCGGAGGCCCCGCCGGCTCGCCCGCCGTCTCGGGGCTGGCGCCCGTGGTCACCACCTGCGCGTGACGCTGCCCCCGCCGCCCCGACGCCTCCCAGTGCCTCCCGAGCCAGGCTGCCTTCGGGTGCGCCCTTGCGCCAAGCCCTGCTCGGGCCCCCGATGGAAGGGGCGCCTTGGCGCGCCCGCCCCCCGTCGCCCACCGGCCGGCTGCCGGTGGCAGGGGCGGGGGGGCCTTTGAACTTTCCGCCGGATCGTCTTGATCCGAAGCGGCTCCGAAGGAGTGGGGAAGGGGCGGCTGCGCCTCTTCTCCCGGAGGAACCGAGGGGGGCGTCGGGCTGGGCTCGCTCTGGCTGGCACGTGTAAATGAGGGGCGCCCGGTTGGAGACGGGGCGTCTGCCTGGATTCTCTCCAGCCGCCGGACGCCCTCGCCCTCCTTCCCCCCCCCTCCCGAAGGCGCTCTCCCCCTACGCCTCCCCTCTTTCTTCTCCCTCTGGTAGAGGGGGGCCACCAAAGCGCAGCGCCTGCTGCCCGTGGAGACCGTGTCTGCATGCATGCGGGTGCCTGTGCGTGGAAGTGTGCGTGCGCGTGCGTGCCTCGGCCTCGAGCTGAACTGGACTGTTTGCACCCTAGGAATTCATCCTGACCCCCCCCCCTCCCGCCACTTAGCCCTCCCCCTCCCACCCGCCCAATAAGTTGCTGAAAAAAAAAAGCCCAAGTCGCTTTTGCATCCCTCAAAGTCGCTGGATCCTTAACAAAAAGGTGCCGGGCTGGGAGTGGGGGCTGGGCTGGCCTCTCTCCTCTGAGTCTCCACCCCTCGGGTAGGGTAGCTGCCTGCCCACCTGCTTCGCCTTCCCCGGGCAGCGCCTTGCACTCCCCTTTGCTGTTTGGAGGCAGCCCTCTTCCTGGTTTCTAAGAGCGGGGGTACCCCTTCCTTCTGGGTCTCCCAGGCTGCTCTGCTCTGCTTTTAACAACAGCCTTCCTTTTCTCCCCCCCCCCACGCCCCCCAACCTGACATGTAAATCCCAGGCCAAAGCAAAGGTCCAAACAGGAGCACCGCTTTCCCCTGGCTGCCCTGTCTTCCATCTGGCCCTCCACTGCCCTGGTCACCTGAAGAGATGGCTGAAATGGCCAGCCACCACCACCACCACCTCCCCCTCCCCCTCCTCCCCCTCGCAATGGGGTCCTTTAGTTAGAAGCTGTCAGACCCCTGGCTGGGCATTGTGTAACCTAAAACCTTGGGAGGGGAGGGGGGAGAAAGTTCAGCGAGGGAGAATAGTTGTACTACTCCAAAGTGTAATTTCTCCAAGGGAGGACAAGGACTGGCTTAAGGCTCTTTTGGGTTATCGGGCCAAACACCCCCCCCCTCGGGTCACTCACTCACTGATGGTACCCATGAATGTAGTGGCTGGAGAGAGGTCCCCCCCAAAAAAATAATGGAATTGGAAGGGGGGGCTTCTCTCAACTTCCCTCCACCTTGAATGTATTCTTGATCCCCTCCCCTCTTCATTGTCCTTCTGGAACTTGGATGCTTGGGGGGGGGGAGGGAAATGCCATCCACTTGGGTAGGGTGTCCATTTTGAGGGTCACTTTATGCACTCCACTGCCCTTCAATTCCTTTTTTCAAAGCACTGTGTGTGTGCATGGTGCGTGTGCGTATGTGTGTGTGTGTGTGTGTGTGTGTGTGTGTGTATGTGTGCGTGTAGTGCATGTGTTCCATGCAGCTGAACTATGTAAGTGTTCAAACCACCTTTACAAAGTGATGGGGGAGGGGCAGGGGAGAGGCATAGATTAGCTACTTCCAGACCCTCCTAGCTCTCCCTGGAGATGTCATTTTAAGAAAGAGGGCTACTCTAAGAATTTGGGGTGGCATTTTTTTAAAGAGAAAAAAAAAAACCCATTGTTTTCAGAAATGCAGAAGAAAAAAACACAGTGTTTTAATGCGTACTTTTTATAAGGTTATTTTGTTCTGTTTGGGGGTCACATAAACTGAAGGGGAGATAACTTTGTCTTATCCCCCTTCTTCTGGTACGTGCATGTCATTGCATGTCTTGCTCTTTTTTTTCCCCCTTTTTCCTTTTGTTTGTTTTAATAAAAATGCTCAGATATTTAAGCAAAACAATGATAATAATTATTAAAAAAAAAACTTGTTGCCAAAAGGTTGTGTTTTATTCAGGTTTGATGTCTGCATGTTTTTTAAAAAAAAAACTACATCAAAAACATTCTCAGAGAGAAAAATGCAGTCTAATTTATGTGAACTGAAAGAAACAAAAATCAGGTTTAACTACAAAAATCTAAGGGATTGCTATTTTTTTGAAAGACTTTTGTATAAAGTTGAGTACTTAGGGGAAAAAGACAAAACCAGATGTAATATATTTTGTGGATGTTTTTATTTCTTGAATTTATAGTACCTTATACTAAGGTTAAAATGCTTGATATTGTGGGGGGGGGAAGTGATAATTTTCAGACACATTTCATTTGCTCATTTGTCATATTGTAATGCAGATATGATGGTTAATGCAGACAGCATTTTAAAGGGGAAAAATCAGAATTATGGAACAGATGTATTGTTGTACCCTTTGCACTGTGAGCAAATGCTAATGCAGTAAATATATTGTGTTTGCTGACAATCAAATCCTTGTAGTTAATATCTTTATTGGTTTTTTTTTTCTCTTTCTTTCTAAATATTGGGAGATATAGATACACACATGTTCCCTGCTCTTGAAAAACATCTCTGGTATGTGAAGGAAATAACTTGTTTTGGTTACAAATGGGATCTTAGGATGAATCTCAATCTTGTTCTCTTGCTTCTGGCACTGCTTTAGACATTTGTCAGTTATGTTGGGCTGTTGGCTTCAGGATCAATACTTGCAGCTTGTTGTTCAGAATAGAAATATCTGAAGGATAAGAAAAACCAACTGGGCTACAAGTGACAACCCCATTTAGGCTTCTTTGCAAGAAATGGGAGTTACTGTTCAAATAATTTCACTAAAACTCAGTTCTTGATCTCAATTGTTTAAGTCTGTGTCCTTGATGGTACTAATGGCTCTGTCCTTGTGAACTGACAATTCTTGAGATCCTGTTTTCCTGAAATTCAGATTGTTTTCTGGACGTCCTCTTGTTCTATCTCAACTACCTGAACTTTGTCATGTTTGGGCACAGTAGTTCTTGCAAACTCTGAGTAAAGTTTACTTTATTCCCACCTACTTTTCCTTTTGAGTTGAAGAGCTTAGTGGACACTGTACATGATAAGCAATTCTTGTTCTTAATTGAAGAGAAACATCACGCACACAAAATCTGTGAAGCTTTCTAAATTTTCTTTAGAAATGGCAGCAGTAGCTCTGAAAGGATGGAGAAAGAGATGCTCATTGGAAAGCTGTAGTAGGAAAACAATAAACTGATTTAGACCTAATCCAGTACAACAGGGGTCCTCAACTATGGCAACTTTAAGACTTGTGGACTTCAGCTCCCAAAATTCCTCAGTGCTGGCTGAGGAATTCTGGGAATTGAAGTCCACAAGTCTTAAAGTTGCCAAGGTTGAGGACCCCTGCAGTTCCGTGGTGCCATGGTCATTTCATGGATATTTTTAATGTGCTCAAAGAAAATGAGAGGAAAGGAGCCATAGAAGATCAAATATGATTTGTTGATTTAACCTTGCTCGTGCTTGATAAGGTTTGGCTAAGAAGTGACATTTTTGGCACCATTCCTTAATTGCACACTCTTCTTCATGGTAGGAGCAATGGAGGAGAAATCCTGAGATCTATAAATGCAGCTTATCCATATGGATACCTTAAGCTTAGAGTGGTCTATTCTCAAGATTGTTTTATAGGGTTACATGAGGTGAAATGTTTTTCTTTTGGCCTGGGCCAGTCCTGGAGGGCTGTTCATAAAGTGATCACTGTAATGCATGTCTGCAGGCTTCTTATCTGTGGGGGAAACCTCTCTCTTTGGCCCTTGGAAGAGATTAAGCCAAAAGCTTCCTTCCTAATGTGTGAAATGTTGGGCTTGTTTAATTACTGTGGAAAGTGTTTTGCTGAGGAAAGTTCATTCTAACATATGACATTTCCACTTCCACATTCTCTTGCTTAAATGGCAGTGGGGATGTCTTGCTTTTGATGATTATTTAAAACAGTGTTTCTTCAAGTTTATTATTATTTTATTATGATGATAGTACATTATTATTATCGATCATCGCACAGTCAGCCAGATGTTCAGACTGGATTTGGCATTTTGTCTACCTATCGAGTCCTTACCCAGGACCTGGGATAGGCAGATGTGGATGTTTGATGGTATTACAGATATCGTCGCAGGATGGAAGCAGTTCCTAATAAGGCTGCCTTTTGCAATTGACTAATAGCGAATTTGTCAATGCCAATGGTGTTCAAGTGGCGCTCCAGTTGTTTTGGGATTGCACCCAAGGAGCCTATGACTATTGGTACTACCCTTGCTTGCTTTTGCCACAGTCTTTCTATTTCTATTTGTAGGTCTTTGTATTTTGTTATCTTCTCCAGTTCTTTCTCTTATTATTATTATTATTATTATTATTATTATTATTATTATTATTATTATTATTAAGTGTGGTCTCGGGATACCTGAAGGTCCCCCAAGGCCCTCGCAAGGATCTACAAAATAAGAATTATTTGCCTGTCAGTGTTGAAAACTAATGGAAAATTAACATTCTATAAATCCACTGAGAAAAGCAGTTGTGGCAGGAAATGCACCAGTTTTCATTTTTTATATGTTAAATATGAATAAATATAACCTACCCAAACAAAAGCTTTGGGGGGGGTCTACCATGATTTTAAAAAGTGGGAAGGGGTCCTGAGAGAAAAAGGCTTGAGAAACACTGATTTAAACTGATCTATGGAATGGCTTTACTGGTTGATTCCCAGTATCAGATATTCAGGCTGAAATACTTCCACTGCCTATCCAAAGTTGCCGGGAATCTGTCTCTTCCTCTAACATGCAGGATTTAGTTGTTCACTCAGTGCCTTCTTTTCTCTCTGCCCATGAAGGAAAATTAAATCTCTATTTCAGAAAAATTAAATCTCTTGTCTAGTTTAATTGTATGAACATAGAACGTTTTGAGGATGGATTTATATATCCCAACTGTTTATCTTATGGCAGTGTTCTAAAACAGACTTTCTGTTTTTAATGTTTTTCAAATGATGGACAACAATTCCCAGATGTCCACTTTG